GGGAGCTCCCGGCTCCGGGATGCTCCGCGGCGGAGGAAGGGCTGCGGCTGCCAGCGCTTCCCTGTGCAGCATCCGGAGCAGCGCGGAGCTGCTCGCTTCCCGCTCCGGCCCGCTGCTCGCGGAGGGAACCTGCTGCTCCTGGGGTTTTCCTCATCTCCGAGGGCGTATTAATGTCCCTGGATAAAATCCCGCTTAACTCACGGGGCAGAGCAGATCGGCTTTAAAAATGGAGGCGGCTGCTTAACAAATGGGAAGGGAATTCCCTGGAGAGCATTGAAACGCCGCGGAATGTGCTGCAGCCGTAGCGCCGCTCCGGGCTGCTCGTCTGGGCCCAAGCCCTAATTCCCTAAGGGTGTCCCAGGAAAGCTGGGAGAGCGTGCGGATAGCAGGGATGCTGGTGAGTGAGGGGTGACGGGTGTGAGTTGAAACACAGGCAGTTCCACCTCCGTGTGAGGAAGAACAACCTTGCTGTGAGGGTGACAGGGCCCTGGAACAGGCTGCCCGGAGAGGCTGTGGATGCTCCTTGTCTGGAGATCCTCAAACCCACCTGGTTGCAATCAGGTGCCCCATGCTCTGGGTGTCCCAGCTGGAGCCGGGATTGGCCTGGATGATCCCTAGAGCTCCCTCCCGACCTCAGGGAATCTGCGTGACTCCGTGGGGTGTTTCTACGTGATCGCCTTCCCATGGGATCCCACGTGCAGGAGGCGGCTGCCAAGGGCCGTGTCCGGGTCCAACCCTGGGCCTCCCGCTCCGTCCAGGATCTCCCGCGTGCGCGGGGATCCGGAGCGGCTCCGGGCGGGCTCGGACGCCGCTGAGGCTCCGCTCTGCTCCCCGCAGGTCTACAACGTGTACATGGCCGTCCGGCAGCTCTGCTCCAAGCGCTACCGCGAGTTCGCCATCCTGCACCAGAACCTGAAGCGGGAATTCGCCAACTTCACCTTCCCGCGGCTGCCCGGGAAGTGGCCGTTCTCGCTGTCGGAGCAGCAGCTGGATGCCCGGCGACGAGGCCTCGAGGAATACTTGGAGAAAGGTGAGGAATCCTTGGAAAAAGGTGAGGAATCCTCGGGGAAGGGCGGCGCTGAGGCTGCTGTGCCGCCCTCCTCGCCGGTGGGAAGCAATTCCCCGGGGTACATCCAGCTGGGGTGATCCTAAAGCTTGAACTTCCCTGACATTTGCTTATCCAGGGAGGAAAGGAGGGTTTTATTTGTAGCCAGGTTGGGTTTTAGTGCTGAAAAGCTGTGGAGGGAGCTCAGCGGCGCGGGCCTGCTGGCTGCCGGGGCACTGAAAACAGCAGAACGTTTAATTAGTTCTTAATGAGTGAAGCATCCTGTAATAATAAAGGTGAGCTTTTATTTATCGTGTCGTGCTTCTTGCCAGCAATCTGAGACTGAGGAAGAGGAGGGCAGCTTTACAGGGGGAGAAGGCTGCATTTGAGACCTCTTTCATGGGGGCTCTTCAGCCTGGTACCAGGCTCTGTTCTCAGCCGGCACCTGAAATTAAAATCCCTCTTTCTGCAATAAATGGTGGCTCCCACCTGGTATCTCAGCCCTGTCTTTTCCAGCTCCCTGGTCTTAATCTTCATTTATAGGTAGGACGGGGGAGAGTGGTTGAGTTTTAGAGGCAACACGATACAGTTTGGGTCTAAGACCCACCTGAACATGGCCTGGACTCGTGAATACTTCCAGTCCCTCTGGAAGAACTTCCTGGAGGCAGAAGTGCTATTTAGGATTCCTTGTCCCCTCTCGGAGCGTCCCGCGCGTCCCGCTCACGCCTGCTCTCTGTCCCGCAGTGTGTTCCATACGAGTCATCGGGGAGAGCGACATCATGCAGGAATTCCTCTCGGAGTCGGACGAGGTGGGTGCAGCGGGGGGCACCCAAACTCGGCCTCGGACTTGCAGACGGAGGCCACGGACGCTCGGGAAGGCCGTAGCAGATGGCGAGGACGCTCCCAGCCAACTATATGTGTTTTTAAGCATTTCTCTGGTGTTGGAATCAGGTTTTCCGAGGCTGACAGAGCAGCTGGGCTTTTTCTCGTTATTAGAAGTGACCATGCATAAGTGGCCCTTTTAATTAGCCAGTCCAAGGGCCTCGGGCAAGTCCATACAGCTCAGGGCGCGTGAGCAAATCCAAGCAGCTGCCTTGGATGTGCTGAGTCTGCTGGATCTGTGGCCTAAATGATGCCCAGTTTCCATAAGCAGCTGGGGGGGTGACTCCAAGCTCCGGCAATCCGATCCGAAGGGGATTCCTGCCTTATTTTCCTTCCCTCCTCTAGAACTACAACGGCGTCTCGGACGTGGAGCTCCGAGTAGCGTTGCCAGATATAACGACGGTGACGGTCAGGGTCAAAAAGAACAGCACCACGGACCAGGTGTACCAGGTGAGCGGGGTATCCCGAGTTTCCACGCGGCTCCGGTGGGTGCCGGCGTGCCGGACGCGTCCAGCCTCGCTGGAGCAGCCTTTCCTTTGGTCTGGCTGCGGACACGGAGTCATCTCCGAGTTAATTTTTCCCTGATAATATCTCAGAGCTGGCGGGTGGCTCCAAGCACCTTGGTTGTGTGTTAGGGCTGCATTCAGCGCCCGAGTGTCATCGGGGCTCCGTGGCAGGACGAGCTGAGTGTTTGGGGACAGCAGGAACAGGTTGCTGGTTTCCTAGGGGCACCCAGCCCGGCACTTTAAGTGGAAAATTGAGAGGGAATGGGATGGAAGGGAGCAAAGGAGCCCGGCACTTTAAGTGGAAAATTGAGAACAACTGACTTCAGCCAGCACTGAAGGAAAAGCTCTCCACGGATGGGGGGAATGGGATGGAAGGGAGCAAAGGGGACCTCGTTGTCAGTAGTGGTGGCACTTCATCAAAAGTGGCTCACAGGAAGGCAAAAGCGGGAGATTCTGAGCCCTTGCTAAAGGAAAAAACCCTGATTTTGTTTTATTTTATTCTGCTAGAAGCATATTCAGCATTTCCTCGGTGACTAATACCTGGGGCTAGTGGAAGCTTGCGAGAAACCTGCATGAAGTCGGCCTTTGCCTCGCGGAAGGGCTGCTGGAATTTGGCTCCTGTTTTGCTGACTCCGTTTTCCCGATTGTGTTTTGCTCTTCAGGCTGTGGCTGCGAAGGTCGGAATGGACAGTATTACCGCAAACTACTTCGCCTTGTTCGAGGTGATCAATCACTCCTTTGGTGAGTCTGTTAATTAATCCCCGCGGTGCTGAGAAACCACTGAGGCCGGCGCCGCGCGCGGGGGCTCCTGCCTGTGTCTCGGAATGAGCCTCGGGCACAGGGGGGTCTAGCAACGAGGAGACCCCGGGTTTTCAGTTTGGAAGGACCAAAGGGTTTGGAAAAGCAGACGGGATCGCTGAAACGCAGCTCCCTGCGGGGAGGGCAGGGCCGGCCGTGTCCTTGTGCCGAAGGGGCCGGATTGAGACTGGCCGGAGGCAAGTCCCCTTTTCCTAAGGGATGCGTGTTGGGAAGTGCAGCCTGTTTTGCCGTGTTCTCTGCATCCCCACGTAGCCGAGGCTGCACTGGGGCATTTCGAGGGTTTCTCCTGGCACTTGTGGCTGGCGCTGGGGGCTCCATGTCTGTTTGCCCCAGCTGCAGAGGGCCCGAAGCCGGGCGGTCGTGCCACAAAACGTGGGCAGGACTCTCTTTTTTATTTCTTTTTCCCCTGTGCTGGCCTGTGAGCCAAGTTCTTTCGCATAACTAGTCAGCTCCTTTATTTCTATTCAGTCTTCCCTGTACCCTTCAAGCTTACCCAAAAGCCCAGGCTTGCACTTTCCTGACACTCGCTCTGAACAATCACTTATTCCTATCTGGATACATTCCGTTTAATTCCCCTGGAAACTGTAAGCTCCATCTGCAGGAAGACAGGGCCCGTATTCCACCCGATAAAGAAGACTTGCTGCTGAGCAGGGTGTCCCT